AAATTCCAAAGCTAGGCCAAGAAATTATTTTCTTGCAACATGAGACCAGTGAACAAGCCAGAGTGGGGAGGTAGAAGGATTTTTTTCAGAAAGTAGCAGCAGAAGAGAACCAACAACAGGATGGCTGGAAAATGTCACAGTGCCAAAGTCCCTGCTGTAGGAGTTTCAGTCATGCTAGACTATAGTTATGCTAAGCTATAGTTAAGCTAAGGTGCCACGAAGGCCCTTGGGAGTAGGCAGGCTTCACTGACCACTGGACAATCTGATAAAAGACACAGTGAGCCAAAACTTTGGAGATATACAAAATCAGCACAAAGTAATCCCTAAATGCTCGAACTTGGCGGGGGCGGCGGAGGGAAGATGTAGTCAGTAAAGGAATGAGCAACAGGCTTCTGGACTTGGCAGAGAGTCAAGTCAAAAGGCAGAGAGAGAGGAATTAGCACAGGGTGGAGGCATTTAAGCTACATAGGGGTTGCAAGACTCACCCTTTTGTAGTGACTTGGGGAGCGTCAGCGCATGTAATGCATTGCTTACTACTGGCTGGGCAGTTTCACTGAGCCAGGCTGACTGCTAGACAGACACACTAGAGTACTGTCCTAAAAATACAATAACCCTTATCTAAGCTTCCAACATTGAACATAAATTCAAGTCGTACTTTCTGCATCACAACAGAAGTACAGGAGGCTGGTTGCAGGCAACTGCCTCTTAAAGCACACAGACCCAAGCAGCCTTAACAACAACAGCAGGCACGAGGCTGGCTGGAAACCCTCACAAACCCCTAAGAATACTAGTGGATACATAACTGGATGGATTATTGTGCTCAATAAGTAATTAACAAGGATCCTGGTTTTCTCTGATAAAAAAATCCCCAATTTTCAGTTTAAAAGAGTAACCTAAAATCCACATTTTTCCATGATTAAAATGAAACACCACATATATAAGTAGTGTTTCATTTTAATCACGGAAAAAATGTTACTTTTTTAAAACCAAAAATTGGTTTTTGGTTTTTTCTTGTTTTGTTTTTAAATCAGAGAGAACCAGGATCCCTGATAATCAACAATGGCTCAATGCCTAGCTGGGAAGAGGTATCCAGTGGGATTCCAGGGGTCTGACCTAGGTCTGGTCTCATTCAACATCTTCATTAACGCTTTAATGAATAGGCCTGAGTACATACTTAGCAAGCTTGCAGATAACACCAAGGCGGGCAGAGTTGAAGACAGGACTAGGATCCAGAATGACCTGGATAGGCTGGAGAAATGGTCTGCAATCAACCATATGAGATTCAAAATCCTGCACTTGGAATGGAATAATCATACGCACAAATACAGACTGCAGAATGACTAGCTAGGCTGCAGGACTGCAGAAAAGGCCCTAGGGGTTACAGTAGACCATAAGCTGAATATATGAGCCAACAGGGTTCCCTTGTTACAAAAAAAGCCAACAGCATACTGAGTTATATTAACAGGTGTGTCACTTGCAAATCAATAGAACTGATTCTTCCTCTCTATTCAGCACTGGTGAGGCCTCAAGTACTCTGTTCAGTCTTCAGCCCACATTTCAAGAAGTATGTGGACGGTTTGGAAGGAGTCCAGTGCAGAGAAACAAAAATGATTAGAGGCCTGGAAGGCAAGATTTATGAAGAAAAGGCTGAGAGAACTAGGATTCTTTATTTTGGAGAAGAAAAGGTGGAGGGAGGATTTGATAACAGTCTACAAATATCTGAAGAGAAGGAGATGGACTTTAAGGGACAGGACCAGGAGCAGTGGTCTCAAGCTTTATCAGGGGAAATTTAGTTTGGAGGTTAGGAGGAATTTTGACTCTGAGGGTGGTCAAGCTTTGGAACAGGTTGCCTAGAGAAATTGTGAAAACTCCATCCTTTCAAGAGGTTGGACAGACACTCGGCTGAGATGGTTTAGTCAGGGATGATTCTACCTAAGCAGGGAGCTGGACTAGATGACCTTGAGGTCCTTTCCAGTCCTACTACCTTATCATCCTATAAAAACTACAACATATATCCCAAAGTGAAAACCAAGGGGAAGGGGGGAGGAGGAACCATAGAGATCGGTATGCCCTTTGTTATCCCCTGCCCCGCCCCCCACCCCCCCCAAAACCCAAGAAAAAAAACATTTATTTCGGTTTAGGACCATATCTAGATTATCTTTATTTTCTGCCCCAGTCTCAATTCATAGGAGCTCTATTTCTTGCCTTGTTTGCTGAACACTTCCTGAGCCCTAAGAAAGAGCCTCCCTTTGCCAAGTGGTACTTTTATCAAATTCCCTTCAGTGGACACATCTACATGTGCTATTAAGTTCAAATAATAAACTCTGGTGCTATCAAACCAGAATTTATCGTTTCCTGGGTGCCACGTTTACAGCTTCCCCACAAAAGTATGCGTGCTCTAAACAGAAAACTTAACAATAATGGTAGAGTTGCACATTAAAATCTCTCTTAGCCCAGCAGTACCTCCTCTTTCAACTGTTCCTCTGATTTGCCAACCCAGGCAACTTCCGGATGTGTGTAGATCACTGAGGGCACACAGTTGTAGTCAATATGAACGGCACCTCCTGCCATCCCCTCCACACAAAGAATGCCTTCATCCTCTGCTTTGTGAGCCAGCATAGGTCCAGCAACTACATCACCAATAGCATAGATGCTAATAAACAAGAACAAAAACACAGCCATTTACAGAGATAACTTACAATATATCTAAAATTCAGTATACTATAACAAATAGCTTTAACACAAGATTGTTTGTAAAGCAGGAAAGTTATAAAAATTACCCCAATTTGTCTATCAAACTGAAATCATATTCTAACAGTATTGATAAAATAAATGGCTCCAAGCTATTACTGTAATTTGTGCAATTTTCAGTTTTCATGAAAGAGCTCATTTAGTTCAAGAAAAGAGGGGAAATCACACTGTGAATCCCATTTTACCTCCTTTGTGTCAATGAAATACCAAACCTGGTTAACAATTTATTTTGAAATACAAATTTTGAATTTTTCTTTAATAAAACTACATTCAGCTAACATTTAAAATAAGAGATAGCACTTCTGTAGGTTAAATAAACTTCACTTTTTAAACAAAAGTTCTATTATACTTTACTAGGAATGTATGGAAGAAGTGTGGAAGAAATAATATAGAACAAGTTATTGAAAATTTGTTTTAAAATTTCTTACTTTGGAATTTTTGTTTGGAATCTAGTATTGACTGGAATTCTACCCTTGTTATCAAGCTCAACTCCAAGATCTTCCAGACCAAGGTTCTTAGTGAAGGGGCGTCGACCAATACAAACTAGAAGTAGATCACAGGTGATGGTTTCTGCCTTCCCACCAGCAGCAGCTTCAATACTGAAGAAGGATTAGAAAAATAAGTGAGACGGTTCCACAAAAATGGTAAACAGAACTGGAAATTGCTTATTAGTTTGTCCAAACACAGCAGTTAAGTTGAGAAGGTATTTAAAAATTCTCAATAAGATACATGGAATTGTTTCAAACAATAGCATACTTCATGCTGAACTGGCACAGTAGATTCCACTTTAGCACATATTGCTTATTCGCATACTTTACTCTAGAACAAAAACATCTGCTACCTATACATGGATCAGGGAGCTGTGAGGGGGCCTTTCATTTTAATCATGGATTTGGGGGGGGGGGGGGGGGGATGAAGACGAAGCAC